CCAAACTCAATACATGCATAGAATACATCACTGTCTACCTCCGCTTTCCTTTCAAGTTGACCGCACCTGTAGCTACGGCAGCTTCGGTTGAGCAGGAACTGGATCAGCAACACATGCGTCTTCCAACTTCTCAGTATTGCTTCGCTTCCCAGCTTCACTTGTTTGACTGCCTACATGACTCAAGTGATTGAGCAGCTTTCCAGTGACACTGGAGGAAGGCATCCCGTGTGCAATACTTTGACATCGGGCATCCTCCTAAAAAGTCTCACAGGTCGCTGCAAGAACTGCCGGCCTAATTCCCCAAAAAGTTGCCGGACGCACTGCATACATCATACATTGGCTATAAATTGCAAACGCCTTCCACTTCAAACCCTTGCACCCTGACGGCACCTCCACCTGGCTGTAGACAAATGTGTACAAGTTGAGCTGCGCAGCGGGCCAGAGTGTTTGCGGTGCTAAGACGTACTGCTTCAGACGCTTGCTTCACCGCAGTTTTTCTGCATCTAAAGCACATCTGAACTCTGCGAGGACTGCAAGCCGCCTCAGGAGACTCCTGATATGAAACGAGCTACTTACAGTCCATATATATATATATGCATACATATATATATATGTATATATAGAGCTCATATTATGCAATGCCTGGTCGCAAGCGACGAAGACCGTGGAGTCCTGGGCTACATCGCTGCAAAATCTGCAACGCAAGCTAGTACTGGCCATAGAGCTTGACTAGCATCTTTGAACAGATCTTAAACATCTCGGCCTTTTACCTTTTTAGCCAAGTGTCCGAACTGTCCCACAGGATGCGGTCAGCCGTGTTTGGGAAGTCTGCAATTGGAATACAATCATCGTTGACCTCAGCCAAGTACTCAGCAGCCAGGGAGACTGAAGATTCAGCAGGCTGAAGCAATCCAGCTTTACTTGGCCAGTTTAGGTATGAGTCAAAATTAGGATTCGAAAGGGGTCACGGCTTGGTCGCATACACATGCTATGCTCGCTGCAAAGGCGCTCTGAGGCAGACACCGGATTGTACCTCACAAGCAGCACAGGCGTGTTTCTGGACACTCTTGACATAGAATACAAAAACGGATCTCGCCTTGAATTGATGGCATGATTTGTCCATAATTGGACGATTATGGTGTGTTGTCTTCTGCGGACAACAGGGGCCAAAAATCTAATTTGTTCCCCAAGCTGCAGCCACGCATTGCCGGAGTTGTCGATGAGTGCGACCTGCCATGGCAATTGAAAGCCCCAGCATCCCTTGATGCAAGCAAGCTGCAGAACACGGGTGGGACACAGCGATTCCCAAGGAGTACATAATAAGCATACAGCTGGGACCCACATATTTGAGTGGAACCTGCAGCTTCTAAGGTTGGGACCCGAGTCCCTTCGTGATTCGGATAGCACCTTGCACCATGCCATCTTGCAACTCAAGACACATGTCTAAAAAGCTTTCACGCCAAGAATGCTCGGCGCCCCGCTTTCGAATCCCGTTCGAGTGCTTATACTCATTAACCTGTGCAGGGAGGCAAAAGACTGCACACTCGTGTTCATTGCCAGCACTCTTATGTCAAACAATCCGCAGCATCCTGCACAGTAAGGAGAGCTTCTATCTTCAATGCAACAGGTCTAAAGCTGCGAGCAACTACCTTGCGAATCACAAGGTGCGCATTGGATACGTGGATATGAAGCTGTGCGCCTCCTGGCCGTCCACCAAGGAGTAATACCTGCACTGCGCGCGGCTGGGGTGAACGAAAACTTAGGCTGAGACAGCAACATCTGCCAATAGTTCTAAGCTATGTCTTCCTGCATCCTCCGTCGCGATAATGCGAGTTTTGCATTACCAGCTTCCAGGCTGGAGCTTGGGTTCAACGGCGCACTGTAAGCGCCCATTGGAGTGCGCGTAGATCAGAAAGTTGCCCACAATGGAAGCACAGGTGATGCTACGGTCATCCTCCTGCAAGATAAATAATGAAGCAAGCAACCACACTGTATTATCAGCCGAGATGAAGCGTCGCACCAAGCACCACATGCAGTTGCTTCTGTTCACTCCTTTCTGGGAAAGATTGTCGTCTTCCCGTCACCGCTTCGAGGCTCAATTTGGTGCAGGTACCTGAAAAACACAACAGTTTCACATCCAGTCGGATAGAACTGGAAGATCAGCTTTGCGGCTGAAAGGACCTTTGTTTGCGGAAAAGACCCCGTGTGCTGAAAGCCGTAGCTGCTTGTGCGGAACTCGTCAGCGTAGTCTCTTACTGTCATTCACTGCTCGCACTGCTCTGCAACATGCTGGTAGCAACATCACTCCACGGTCTTCTTCATCGTTTGAGAAACCTGGTTTATCCCCTATTCTCGAAATTTCGGACATGTGGCCACATCCAGCTATCGGAGAACCTGTAAGTTTCAAGAATTCGGCGGATGTGTTGGCCCAGGAGTCCCTCATCACTTTTGCGCTGGGCTGTCTGGCTTTCCTCCTTTCTGTTTATCTTCTTTTGACCATCTGAGAGAAACAGGACCAATAAGAGAAAGCACATCAGACAAGGCTCTGCTTACGCACTGTCAGCAAGATCAGCATAGCTGCGGTCACAGCGCAGCTGGCAAGCACATCAGCTGATGGTTGAGTCCTCTTTTTGAAGCAATGCGCTGCTCTCTGCTTCCATGGGTTCGCGCCCATAGCTTGCTGACATGCATTTAGCACGTCGCATATTCCAAGCGGACGGCGCTCTTAAAGTGGTGCAGGTGCAGGAGTTCAACGCGAGGCGCCAACTACACTGGAAGCCCTATACACCAATCACTACCGGTGATGACAAGTTCTTCAAAGCCTTCAGGACCTCAGCGCGTCATGGCATTCTTCACGAGCAAAAGCTCAGTCTGCAGGCTGTTCTGGTAATGTCCTTATTCTATCACAGCCAGGGTGCAGAGAATGGCACAACTCTTGAGGTTCGTTGGCTTAGGGGCTTTCCCCTCACCTGGGGCAGCAAGCTTGGAACACAACTTCTACCAAAGAGGAAAGCTGTGCCTCGAGACTGATCTGGCCACAGCCACCTTGCAAGGTGACCCGATTCGTGGGCCCTGGCCTGGCAAAACTAGCCATAACAAACAATGTCAAGACATCCAACCAAAGCATGCCCTCTAGTCCCCAGGGCCCAGGCACTGTCGGATCAGCGACCAAGCGCACCTTCAACCTCTTTCAAGCGCTTGTCTAAAAGTTCAAAGCTCTCTTTCTTTCTTTCGGGCTATTGGGAGACCAGATGGCTCTCTCTCTCTCGCAGCTTCAGGCAGGCCCCACAAGGACTTGCCAACTCAGCCCATTCAGCCTCAAGATGGGATCACTAAAGCCACAGGTTGTACTTGACGCAGGGCAAATACCTAACTTTGACAGAATTTGGTATGCAACTCTGAAACATTCTGAAGATCACCTTTGGAAAGTTTGGAAAGTTTCCGTCAAGAGCGGACCCCACAAACACGCAAAGCATCTGTAGCATCTCTTCCAGACAGCCCTCCGATGCTCTCCGCACGTTTCCCCAAAGCCATTGTGCGTGATCCTCTCGCAGAAGCATCTCTCAGCTCTCGTGTTCTCCCTGCCTGTCCAAGCCAACTGTTGCGAGTGCCAGTGCCGCGGCAATGTTGGCATTCTTTGGAAACTGACTTGCAGCCTGGTAAAGATCAGAGGGCTGCTTTCCATGCGGTGCTCGTCGCTCCCAACCGAGTTGCAGACCTCCCGGGCTGGTCCTCAGGAATTGGTTACAGCCGCGAAGTCTGGAATCTCCAGCAAAAAGTCTTTCCAGGTTGACACTACTTCTGTTTCGAGGACTTCCATCTGTCTTCCTGTTATCATCATCAGTTGACCATAACAAGGAGTGCTTGTCCCATCATTCTCTGAGGGTATTGATTCTGCAGCTGATGCAGCACTTGCATATGCGGCCTACAGGCCCCAGGCCTTCAAAGACCACCGCGGCGGCCTGAAGGCTGTCCAGGTCCACTCGGCTTTCAGCCGGAGTGCCGCGCCAGCCCTTGCATCTGGTGATAACACACAAGACGTGATCCTTCATAGGAAGCGTATGAGGACCTCCACAAGCCTTGTGCAGGCGCCTTTTTTTAGCAGGAAGATGCCAGAACCCTACCTGATCCCACCCGCAAAATTCAAAAATACACTAGCGGCTCAGACTCGCGGACGTGCGGTCAAAGCTCCCCAGCTAGCATCACAAGCGGTTTGGCCTCGGGTCGCTTCCGCTGCTCCACAGTCACCTCCCAGTGCAACATGGCCATGCCTTTAAACTTGAATATCTCGGAACTTTGTTCCAAAGATGTGTAAAATAGCAATCCCTTACATGTGTGCAGTAAGAGGGAAGCCCAAGCGAGTCCTCGTCCACCTCATCCAAGGCTGCAGATGACATCCAGTCCATGCCTTGCACAAATCAAAGCCACCAAACGCAAATGCCAGGGGTGTTCGTCATTGTACTGCATAAAAGCTGGGTTTCGTGAAGAAGCGGACGACCCACCAAGGTAGCACGGGGCAACATGAGTCCTCAAGAAGCTTTTGGGCTGCCTGGCATGGCACCAGCCGGGAGCAGCAGCCGCGAGCCAGACTGCGCAGCCACAGAGGTGAAGTCCTGAAAAGAACGGCTATTTGGTTTTCAAAGCTCCCATGTCCTAGACTTCTCGCTGTACTTTTCCAATTTCGTGCATTCGAAAAGTAAAGGTAACTCTTCTTGAAGGAACGACTTGACTCAGTGCCCTTGTCTCAAGTCGTGGAAAATGACGACAGGCTTTGTGATCTCAGCTGCCGCACCTGCACAGTTTCTTCTAGTGGCACGTGCTACAGGTAGGCAGTGTATGTCATCAGCTTGCACTTGCCTAATCAACAGCAAATGACACGGACTTCTCCCCAGGTACGAAAGAAATTAGAAGGCAACCGTGTTGTGTTCACAGGCTACGGAGTCCTCTAGCAGAGCATCCTCTGTGAAGACGCCCACAGAGGTCACGAGAAGATCTCGACCCTTTCCAGCATCCATGTAAGTCAGGATGAAGAAAAGGGAACACGCTAGACTCCAAAGCATCAAACTTCAAACTTCAGCGCTATTCAATGAAGCGTAGCCAAATGCAGCGAGCCTCAGCCAAGACCCGTCTGCCATTTTCGCGCACCTTGCCCCCAAGGCTCGGCCGACAAGCCGACAAGATCCGGTGTCAAATCATGTGCTCTATCACCCAAGTATCAGCGTGCTGATTCAAAAGCTCCTGTGTCTTGCTCACGAAATGCTGCATCACCACCAGTGTTTGGGCCTGAGAATAAAGAATGGTAGGGGCCTGGCCCAGGGCTGACCGGCAGCTTCAACACACAGCGACCTTGCTCGGCTTCTGGTATCGCAGCAGCAGTACAACTCAAATGTTAGTGCTACCCAGGCACCAGTCAGAGGTAAGGAATGCCTCAGGTACAGGGATGATGAAAAAGAAAATGGAAACTTCTAAGGGCTGTATAGGGATTATATTGGGGTTATATAGAGCTTATATAGGCATAATGGAAAGGAAAATGGAAACTACTATAATAGGGTATATATGCTCAGGTTGTCCAGTGTCTGGTATCAGGGGAGGTGTGCTGGGTACGCCTACCAAGCTGAAGTCCAGATACAGATTGCCTCCAAGTCTGTTGTCAGCAGCGCCTATCAAGGGCTTCCAAACCACGAGATGTACACTCAAAGATTTTTGCTACAATGAAAATAGTCAAGAAATAGCGTTTATTCAAATAATAACAATAGTAATAATAGTAATAATAATAATAATAACCAAAATAATAACAATAAAAATACTATTAATCGTGATAGTACAGCCCAAGCAAGTCCAACGGCCTTGGACCCCACTTCAGCTGGGCGAGGATCCCGCGGCCTGAAATAAAGGCGAATTCTGCACTGCAGGAATCGACCAAGAGTGCTGTACCTTCAGTCATCAGCATCTCATGCACTGCTCTTACGCCTCTGGGTTAGCACAGCTTCCAGGGCTGCTCCTGGCAGAGACCTTAGTCATGAGAATCCTGGAAATCAACAAGCCGCGATCATGCCATGAGCATTGACAAGAACTGGAAATGCTCACATGCGGCGCAATAACAGTTGTCTAGGTAAAAGACCAGCCAGTTGAACTTGCAGCTGTGGTGCTGTCGCGGGCCAGTGAGGGCCTGCAAAGTATCGTTGTACTGTAAGCTTGTCAAACATGATGGCTCATTTCAGTTGTCTCATGCATCCCGCTTCAGCCACAATCGTCCCGATGGAGCCAAGGCCGACGAGACCGACACGCAGCGTCTCCTGGAGTCTTCTTAGGTGAGCTGCATTCACGACTTCCTTTATGAGCCCTTACAGGTCCCCCTGTACTATGCCTCGCATAGACAAGGAGCTGGATCAAGACTCATGTATCCACGGATCCCTCCTGGCGTCTCCGCTTCAATTGAGGATGAGCCTCAGGTTCCTGGCCTGGGTATCAGGCTTCGCGGCTTCGTTAGCATAGGAGTGTCCATGGTAGTCTCGTTTTTCCTTGTCTCTAATTTGCAGTGGACAGTATATAGCATAATGCTTTCCGTGCTCTCAGGAACTGACCGGCCATCTTGCAGAAAGCACGAAGTAGCCGTTGGCCTCGTGCATCGACAGGTGGAGTGCACCCTAGAAGCGCAGAAGGGGATTCAAATGCAGTTAAGCTCAAAGCCCTGAGGCGCCAGCTTGACGTCAGTCGGGGCAACTGCCAACAGCCTGCAGCCAGGCTTCACGCAACGGAAGTGGAATTCCAGAGACAGCTGCGATAGCTAGGTACATCTTTGATCAAGGCCTCTCAACCGCCGTGTAACCAACAAGCATTGGGAATGCATGGGTGGCAGTCTGGTAGCAGTTGAGCCCAAGTTCAGCAGAATGCCCCCTTAGGTTAGAACATATGCAAAGTGGCTTCACAGGCAATTGTCCTGAAAGACTGACATGCGTGGTGCTTGTATGGCCGCGCACACTCACACAGACACAAGTGCCTGCGTCCCGCTTGCACTATATCCGAGCAACAACTAGTGAGCAGCAACAATGGCAGGGGGTACACACGGCCGTCGATCAAGACGCAAGCATGGGTGGCGTTCAAGCTCACGCTCTCCACGCTGCCGATGTACTCCTCCAAACCAAGCTGAAGATGCTGCTCCGAGTACAAGCCTTCCTATCGTCAGCATCAATCCTCAGAATTGGGGACTGCCTGAGAGCTGATGCTTTGGTATACTTGGGTCAGACAGCACGGATACTCTGGAGCATGCGTTCTGCTGGCCAGGCTGGCAGGTTCTTGCCTGCTCATTGACCTTCTCAACCGACGCTTGGTCCGTACAGGAATAGAACCAAATCCGATTGTTCATTCCGGTCCTCGGACCCGAAGCTCAGCAGCCCACAAGTAGACTGGCCATGAAATCTACCGCAGATTACCGCTGCATATGATGACAAGCTGACTGATTGCATACACACATGCCATGCCCTGAGTTCGTCACGCTAAGTGCGAGGGGCCAAGGGCCACAAAAGCAGGCTCCACATCAGTTTGGAGCACCACCTTCGCGGCCATGTCTGCCCAATAGCATCTACAAATTGCCGTAGATGAGTTTCAACCCAGCCGAGCTGGCCTTGTTGTCGGCGTCCACCGTCCCTTCAATGATTGTCATCTCTCGCAAGGAGGTCAAATAAGCCAGCCTTAGCCGACTGCAATGTTTCACACAGACCACAAAAGAGTTCAGATGTGGGAAACGAAGCATCAGCTATGAAAGTCATGCAGAAACACCAGCTGCTGCAGTCCCCCTCCCTTTAAGCTGAGGTGCCGCGTATTACAGGTGGCCGAAAGCGCTGTCAACTTAGCCAGGAAGCAGTACACCTTAGCACAAAAGCAAAGGCTGCGACTACTAAAGCAACATTTCACGCGCAAATCTTGCAGCGCGTTCATGATCACCCCGAAAAAGAACCCATTTTGAGACCCTTAAAGTAGAAATCAAACGCTCGCTGCCCAAAGTTGCACTGATGCATTCGACTGCCTTATTGGACAGATTGGTTGAAGGTAGCGGGTAGGAACTCAACGCTTGCCCCTGCCAATGCCTGTCTGCAAGTTTCCTCAGGCTTGCACCCAGCCAGTTTCTGTACAGAATGACAGCAGCCTGAGCATCAAGTTTCTTCACAAACTCTTGACCACTAGTCTGCTCACGTACTTGTCTTTCTTTTCTTTCAAAGGGGTACTAAAGAAAGCCACTTCTGTGGATCTGGCAGACACCAGTGGTGAACGCTCTCTGGCAGCAAGAGCTGTGTCTCTCCACCGCTTCCATGCTGGTGGCAGGCAGTCGGACTCAGCGTCCGGCTCTCCGTCTTCAGACCAGTGCATTTGCGTCACCTCTGCATACTCACATTGACATCAGCACAGGTTTTAATATGTGACTATTGAACACTTGCATCATGTCCAACATGAAGCAAACTTTGCGCAAATGCCAGAACTCTTCTCAATCGAATCTAACCAGGATAGGTTTGAGTTGGACATAGTTGGACATTGTAGGGGGCTTTGAGAGGGGACCCAAACATGGAACGTTAGTACGGACCCTTGTAATTGTGGGACGTGATATGGGGATTGCCGGAGATAGGGGCCAACATGGGGAGCATGTAAAGGTTGACAGGAAACCTGGTTTGGCGGTCCCCAGTATAGGGATCCCTCCACAGGACCCTTGAACATAGCTGCTTGATACACATAGCTGCTGCATAGCTTTGGTATGCAAGGGCTTGCCTTCGCCTCAGGGCGTATCTGAATTTTTTCCCCTCGAATCTCTGTCCAGTCCTGGCACGGGGTCTCCCCAAGAGACTCAAAACAAATATGCGCACTGTCCCCTAAGCGAATCTAAAATGAATAATTACCACGAATTGCAGCGGCCTGCCAGCAGTTTCTGACTAGTCTGTCTGTCCTTCATGCTGATGAGCTTTATGCCATCGTCCCCTGCGGAGGCAATCTTGCCAGCAGCCTTTAGCAAGCGGTTGATTGGCGCAGCGTCGAGCGGAAGCACAGTTGAGCGACCGCAGAAGATTACAAGCCAGCCTTGCTGCAACAAAGGCAGTCGAGAGTGTTCCGGTGATATTTCACCGAGGAGAGCTCCTGCAGGCAACTGGCTGTGCTGCCACCAAACTATTCACAGACATCTTCCGGCGGTGAGACTAGCTTCACCGGTCACCAGGCCTCGGAGATTTCCCGAAGCCTCGAGCTGATAACAACCTCAGACTCAAGCATGAGATGACTTGGTTCTCAAGCTCAATACCTGGCTGCTTAATGTAGCTCCTAGTGACAACTAGCAATTACTGCGTCACAAAAATCCCGAATGAAGTTGGCTGCAAAGCGCATTGACATGAACAAAGTAAGCTGGCATCTGGCCTCCAGTTAGATCTGGGCACCAGGCTATGTATCCCTGTGAGAAGCCAACCTTCCGACCAGCTTGCACAATCTTTCAATGATTGGCTCGCGGGCTTTCCACTGACCAGGATTCCAAAAATATGTACGTCACAAGCAGTCATTAAATGAGTTCGTCCGGTCAGTGAATGAGCTTAAGGCGCCTGTGTCCTTGATTCACTCCCATGATCTGTGATTCACATGTAACTACTATGTGGGTGCCCGGCCACGAGGTAGCCATCTCCAATCCAGGAGTAGGCTTTGATTGTGCCATACCTGAAGATGATGAGATATTGCAGCGTCCCGGAAGCTTCCCTGAAAGCAACTTGACCAAGGCTGCGCTGCAGATGGGCGTACTTCGGTTGGAAGGCCAGCTCTGTTGGCTTCTGAGGTTCTTTTAAGTTGCACAGCAGCAAAGTCACCTCGCAGGACGGGCACTTCAAGCTGCGTGAGATTTAGAGAGAGTTTCGCGATACTGCATGAGATAGCTATTCTGATCGCATGAATGGGCTGCAGCCGCCTCCCCCAGAACGATGCTGACCACTCGTTCGCGTTCAGTATCTGCCAAAAGGATCAGCGTGTCTGGTGTCAGCATTCATGCCGTGCGAAAAAGCGCAGGATCTCGGTGCGACAATAATCTCGCATTGTTAGGTCACAACATGCACAGACCGCGTGGTCCGGAGCCTTTGGGGTCTTCGGACTTCACGTCTGCAATTTGGAGCATGCTGGGGTCCTGGCAGAGATGGGGCTGTGTGGATTCCCAGCACTGGAAGCTAAGAATGGTAAGACTCCACAGCCACAGCACGACACGAAGCTCTCCCTCCAAGACCAGCAAGAGTTGCATTTTTCAGCCGCAGGGGCTCAGAATCTCCGCCACTTTCCAGGGCATCCCTCAACACGGCGGAGGCTGTCTGTGGGATACCCTCTGCGGGAACAACACGCGGTTGTCCAACTGGGGCAGTGGCCCCTCTTCGTTGCTCAGGCAGACAGTTTTGTCCTTACAGGCACAAAGCCAAGTCAGAGAGAATGTCCAGCCGTCAGAATCATCAGCGGCTATGAGGTACACGTCGTGCCTCCGAGCCGGTAGCGAAGACGTTGTCGGAATGCCATCCCTGGCCCCAGCACAGTGGCATAGCACCGGCACATGGGCTGTGCGTTTTCCTACAAGAAGGACGTATGTTCCCCACATTTTGGCTTAAACCTCTGAGCTTTTCGGAATGTACCATACAAACTCCTCTTTCTTTTCCCCAACTCCTCATGATAGAGCCCCCCCCTTCTGAGGCCCCAGCGCCACAGCTGATTCTCTTTGAATGCTTCCCCATAATCGTCTGCTTCTTCATGGTCCTAAAACCAACCATTTGAACAGACAGTGGTTCCGTAGCCACCTTAGACAACTTCCTGCCACACATGGACAAGACTGCCCTGCCCAACTTGACATGATGACCGCGTGCGCAAGCCATCAGGCGCGTCCTCTTGTTGTAGATGATGAGGTTCCCTCGCGCAGTTCCGATAACTAGCTGCGGTCCAGTTTTTGACCACGAGAGCCACGAAGGGTCCTTGATGGCAAATCAATTCAGAAGCAGCAACGTAGGCAAGAATTGCGGGTAGAAACTTTGCATCAGCCCTGAGTATGGGGTGCGTCTGTTCAGAATGCAGAAGAGGTCAGTGGCAGCGCTGAAGGCAATTAACATTCGATCCCGTCCTTGGAATTCATCTCGACCATGTCCAGCTTGTTTTCGGCATGCCGCCACAAGAGTACCTCTCGTGTCACGCCATGGCACTTGAATGATAGTCCACTCCCCACCATCCCGACATTTCTGAGATCGTGGCAGTTTCCTCTTTCTGCTGCAGGATGGCCAGGATTTCACCATCCTCCCGAAGCAAAGCCCGCTGCAATTAGCCCCATGTTCTACGTGTTTCCTGTCGCCAGGCTCTCGCAAACATGTTGCAGCAGAAATGGCCTTGTCCCATTCAAGCTGGACCACCTGCAACTAAACGTTGAATCTTACCACAGAAGTGCGAAAGAGATACTCAGTGCCAGGAACGTGATCTAGCTGTGCAATTGCGGCACATATCCGAGAGTTATCCGCAAATTGAGCTCACACATCCACATCACCAAAGCTGCAGCACACAAGACAACCACATGAGATGAAGGAGTTCTACATCTGCATACCAGCTCCTTTTCATTCTTACACTTCGGCTCCTCACTTGGCCCAATAAGCTAGCAGTTAGAAAATGCTTGCCAACTGCTTGGCAAACCGTGAGAGCTGAACTGCACGTGAGCACGTTGGCATCTATGCGCCGGCTGTGAATCTGAAGCAAGAGCTGTGTGATCTGCTGCCACAACGCTTTGCTAGATTCCTGCGCTGCATGCAAACCGGACACTGTCGCAGCTGCCGCCAGGGCTGCAAAGACCGAATTATAAGTTATCAAGTTTGGCTGCAAAGTTTGCGCATCCAGGTCCGAGAGGAGGAACAGGGCTTGTTCCCACTCCGAAGCTTGAGAGCAGGCGCTGATTGTGGAGTTGTATGAAACTATGTCCGACGTGGCAGAATTGCTGCTCTGAGCCCGTCCAGAACGCAAATCGTCCAATAGACCGAGCGCAGGCAACCACTGACCAGCCTTCTCGCAAGCACTCAGGCAGGCGTTGTACGCAATGGTGTCTGGCTGCATATGCACACCGCAAAGGGAGAACAGGCGGACTGCCTCTTGCCACTTCTTGCCTGTGGCACAAGCACTCATGGCTGCGCTGTAGGTAATTACGTCTAATCGCACTCGCATGTCTATAGCGCTCACCAGTAGTTGAACAGCTTGCATCCACGCACCCAGCCCTTCGCAGGCACTTACAGAAGAGTTGTATGAGATAACAGTCGGCTGCAGCCTCTTCAGAAACATCTCTGACAACAATTGCAAGGAGCACCGCCACTCAAGAGCCCTCTCGAAGGTACTAATGGTGGAATTATAGCTGATCACATCTGCTCTCAGGCGAGCTGACGGCAAATGCATGAGGAAGGAATTGGCTGCTTGCCATCTGGCTGCATCGGAGCAGCATGCCAGGAAGCTGTTATAGGTCATCAATCCGGGACTGCGCTGCGCTTTTTCCATGTCCAGTATAAGAAGTGTACTTCGCCATCGACTGCTGCTCTGACATGCATGGATGGTGAAGCTGTACGTCAAAGCATCTGCAACTCCTGGTGGCAACTTTGCCAGTAGCCCCACAGCCAGAGGCCATTGCTCCGCATCACATGCGTTGATGATGCAGTTTTGAGAGATAACATCTGTCCTTCACAGGGCTGTGGCCTGATACTTTTTTCTTGGGCAAACTGCACCTAAGAGCTGCGGCACCACAGAATGTGTTCAGCTATGATGTTTGTGTTGAGGCTACAATTCTCCTGTCCTCCTCTCCGTCAGCAGCCCTAAAGGCCGCTTCCATTCCGAGCAATCTGCACACGCTGCCAGGAAGGCATTGCAGGAAATTGGGTCTGCTCTTAGACCCGAAGTTGGAAGCTCATCCAACCTGAACCCAAATTCAGTCTTTTCAAGCTAAGTGTAGCGAAGACTGAATTTGCCGAGGTGCAGCCCAAGGGCTTGCGGCCAGCGTGCTGCCTTCTCGCAGGCGGTCAGCGAGGCGTGGAAAGTGATGAGATTGGGCTCCCTGCGTTCATCTGTTACTGTAGTAACGTGTCCAAAGTTGGGAAAGACACCCTTCCCATTTGTTCAGCTGTTCCAAGCCGAGCGGCACACTCTGCACCGGGATCTCCTGCGGCAGGCACAAAGTGTTGAAAGGGCTTCAGAAAATCTGGGATGGATCATAGATTTGACAAAGGCTGGTTGGATCTATGCGATTCAAGGTTTAGGCCCACATGTCCTATCGAGAAGGAGAGGCATCAGCAACCTCTAAGAGATCTTCCAGTCCCTCAAACCCATTCAAACCAGCGGTCCCGGAGAATTGCCAGAGCACAGCTCCACTGCTTTTCAATCATGGTCGAACCGCAAAGGACCACGTCAGCCACAAACTTCGACAGGGCTTCACGCAAGAGGACAGAGCTGGCCCTCCATATTTGGCAGCGTTGCAAGGAGCTCACAGCAGAGCTATAGGTGATAACATCTGCCTGGCAGTTGCTCTGGGCTGCAGCCAAGAAGGTCATGGCCGGCTTCCATCTTACGGCCCTGTCACAAACACTGATACCTGAGTTTATGGTCACAAGATTCGGCTGCAGGCATTGAGCCTGGGCCGCAGCGAAGACACCCACAGCATGCTGCCACTTTGCAGCATGTGTACAGGCACCGAGCACAGCAGTGTAGGTGATAATGTTGGCCTGCAACGAAATACATTGGAGCTGGCTGAGCAGTTTGAAGGCCTCTTGCCAGCTCCGTCTCCCTTGCTTGGAAATCGCTTTGGTGTACTCCGCGGGAGAGCAAGGAGCTACATGAACTACAGATTCCACCATGGCTTCTGCACCTTCCAACGTGGCTCATCGCTGAGACTGTTGACCTAATCAGCTGGCTCAGCCGAATCATGAGCCAAGCAGCATGAGACAACTGAGCAGAGGGAAAGGGATGCTTGAGCATTGAGTACCCCAAAAGATGAGCCGTATGATGTAGGCATCCATTGCTTACGACACCCTGCCTGGCGTCTTCTGCAGACCCCATAACCCATAAATTGACTCCAATAAACCACAGCAGCATTCAGGATATTGGGTGCAGCTACGTAGTCCGGCAGTTTGTGCTGGCGCCTTCGCCGTCGACTTCAGGGTTACCTCCTGCACTTGGGCCTGGTCAGCTTCACCATGGGAGCCAACATGCCAATCTATGACTTTATGTGCACAAATTTGCACACACATATATAGCATGCAAATGCATAGGCATTTACATATACACTGCATATTTAAATATGTGCATATATATATACACATATATATTGCGTGTGTGTACTTGTACACTGTATATAGCATATGTATAAGTGCGTCAGCATTCACGGGTCCCCCCTCCTTCTCCCGCCTTTGGTCCATAAATGATCAAGCTAATACCCCCCGGGGTCCGGTGGGCTGGGTGTTGTAGTTCAGGTTATGTTTGTAGGGGGATAGGTTTCTATACGTTTTATAGGAAGCTGATGTTCCGTTCATGGGTTTCATGACATGTTTACAAAACCTTCAAGGTTTTCTGAAGGTTTACTAGAGGGTTAACAGGAGTTTAAAAGTTTACACAAGCTCTATTTTTTCACCCGGACCTAGAGAGATAGAGGGTTTCCAGAGGGTTTACAAAGGGCTTATAGAAGGTTGAGAGGTTCATAGATTTAATAACGGGTTTATAAATGCTTTTAGAATTTCTGGATGGTTTCTGAATGTTTCATGGAGTTTTATCTGGGGCTAAAAGAAGTAAGCCGTGGTCCCGTGGCCCTGCCGGGAGGGGGCGGGGAACATGGAGCGCGGACGCTTGCGCACAATGTCCATATCTGCATATATCCGGCAACCCCCTGCGATCCACGATGGTGCTTTGCTGCGGGAATCCTTGGAAGAATTGTACATGCCATCGACTTCGCTGCTGCCACAAGGCCGGATCTGTCTTCAAAAATAACTCTCAATATTCCATGTGTCGGATAGTGGGCTGGGCGGGGTCGTTTGACACTACAACCCAAGAATAGCCAACGTAGAATCGATGGCAAATAGACCCAAACCCAAACAGAACAACCTTAAGTAGCAAATTGACGGTCTGGAAAGGAAGAATGTGGTTTTATGGTTTTCCCCAAAAAGAAACTGGCTTCCCTTGTTGGAATACCATTTCCTCGGAAAAAGATGGCTTTACGCTTTTCAAAAATCGAAAATCAAATGCTTCATGAAGATAACCCGCCAAAAACAACTTTTCTCTCCTGGACGGTCCATTAGTCTAACAAGCTTGTTTGAATTTTTGCTTGGGGTGTGTCTGTCCTAGTGACGTATCTGCGTCACCAGAACCTGCGAGTTTATTGCAGTGTGGCGTTTGCACTAGTGGCTCTCCCAAGAGGAAACTTCAGATTCCTAGCGGAGTCATGACCATCTACCGGAGGCGTTGTTTTAAGACAGAAGACATCTTGTCAGATGTTTTACAGCACTTAACCCTCAGTGCACAAGTTGTAGACCTTGCCACGGAAGTCCTCAACAACAGAGCCTGAAAACGTTTGGATGCATCATCACAATAGCATGGAGACCAAAGCATCCTGTAACCAACGCTCAGTCCGGAAGTTGGCCCATCATACGCGGTTACTGACGTGGTGCTGCTGGAACACGAACCGGTTTCGTCCATAGACTCAAGCTTGCTGAAGCCATGATCTTCAGGACGCAGACCGGCAATTGGCCAGAGGAATCATGACGATCTCCGTTTTGATGAAAGAACTGACAGGCTTTGCGAGGCCATAAAGATCAGGAAGCGATGGGGGCAAGGGGACCGGTATGTCGAGAAACGTGTGTACCGTGGACTTTTATCGGGTACAAGCTGCGGTCTTTTACTTCAGCAGCCACGATAAACACTTCATTTAAACCACAAGACCCAGACCACAGGCCACAGGACCGTAAGGAGGGGTCAGGGGTAGCAGTTTAATCCTTACTTAGACCCTAGAAGATGCCACCATACAAGGGGGGTATGTTCTTAAACCCAAAACCCTGAATCAAACCACGGGGGGCGGGGGGGACTCAATTTTCGCAACCAAAAATCAGCAGCCACGCCGTAGGATGAGGGGGGAACCATTGGGGAGGGGGGGGGGCCGCGTCCGGATCATAAGTATAATATGAGGATGCTTTCAGTCTACTGAAGTTGATACACTGCGCTATTTGACATCCCTTCTTCACCGCATGCGACTTGCACCAAAAGCTCAGGGGCACACCCCTTGGCGGTCAAAGAGGTGGATGTTCCTTCGCGATGTTGTCTAGTTAGTCTCCAAACCATGCCACAGCCCTATTAGTCTCTATTCCACAGCCAAACGACCACCCTTGCCTCTGGCCCTCGCCAATGGACGCCACGAAGTTGCCGTTCCTGCGCACGGGATGATAGGCTCAAGTTGTGCCCTTGTAAGTGATTTCCTTGCAGCAAGTATGGCTGCGGGGCCAATCTGGGCCCAACAAAAGTCTTTGGTCTTGGAAGTCCCTCGCTTGCTTAAGTCTCGGGCGGCTGCCAGGCGAAAATGACGCTGCCTTGGCCTCAGCTCAACAGCTTACAGTGGCGGGAGTGTGCAGCTGGTGAACTCTGCTGGCTACGACCATGCCAGTGTGGACCAAGAGTGAAGAGCTTCTTCATCGGACATGCAGGACCTGCAAACGAACTCAGTACGCGCACCTCTCTGACCTCACCTTGACATGAACTGCATGCAGCCCCACAAGTGCGTCTCAGGCAGAAGGGCTGCTACAGAGCCTTGCAAACACAGCAGCCCCTATGTCTTGATGTTTCTAACTGGCCTCGTCCGCGTTTTGCAGAGGACTAGCTTGCATTTACACGTGCTATGCAGTGTAGCTTAGGCTTCGAAGCTGGAGTCGAAGGAGGTGGGCTAGTGTGTTGTGTAGGTTTGGTATTGGTGTTCAGATATAACTGCCGGATCCAATTGAATGTTGTCGTTGTCATGGTTCCTCCCGACTTGCTACTGTTTCATAGCCACGTAGTGCCAGGTCAGTCCGTCTGCAGTTTGGGGCAGCCTGCACAATCAGCCATGCCACTATCTGATGTAAAGGGCCAACGCTTCAGGCAGCAGGTGAGCTCGTGATGTGCACAACTAATTCAAGCACCTGCTGACAATGCATGCGGGAGGAAGGGACAGCGGCAGAAAAGCAAGAAACAGGAGGGAGTAGCCACAGTTCAACAGGGAGAGGGAGGGTGGGCAGAGGAAGGCAGAAAGGCGAGAGGGAGAGAGAGAGAGAGAGAGGCAGAGAGCGTGGGGGAGAGACAGGGAGGCGGAGTGACAGAGATAGGGAGTGAGAGCGCGATGCTCATGGATAAAGGCTAGTGCAGAAACACTACTTCATGGAGTGGCATAGACAATAAATCCGCAGCCCGCGCAAACGGCTCTTACTTGTTCAAACTTTCCATGCGCAGAGACGGTCTTTAGCCATCCATAACTCCAGCTTGCAGCACACGTGCAACACGTGTGCTAAGGTGCATCTGGCATTCAGCATATTAACCATGCATGTTGGCTTCTTGATGTGTAGCTGGCTCAAGCTGCTATGCTGCTATGCTGCTATGCCCTCCTTGAAAATGAAGGCCAGACCACCAGGGTCACGGCACCTTCCTGCAGCATAGCATCCTCCTGTGCCACCGGTTCAGGGGCACATCATGGTGGTTCCGCGGCTGCCCAGGACGTCAGTTTTCTTCACCTTGCGCCCAGGACCAAGCAAGGCAAATTGCCGTGTTGCTGCCTGCAAGCCGCCCAGATGTTCGCAAAGGCTTCGGCTGGCAGCTGAGACGAAAAGGCCGAGGTCATGAACCTCTGAGCCAACTGGCTTGTACCAACCGAACTTGCTACAAAACTTGCGCGTACGGGGATCAAGACTAAGCTGCACGCCCATGCATCTTGGCTTGAGTCCTGGCGGGGTTTCCCTAACAATGCTCAAACTGGCATGTGCGTAAGCGCACAATTTCATGTCGCTAAAGTCCGCAAGTCTTCCCAGCAATCTCATCAGGCTCCTTGGCCGTTCTCGTTGCCAGGAGGACAAAGTAATGCCTGGCCAGAGGAGCGTTGCAGCAACAAGAAGTCAGGTTGCAGTAATATTTCAGGTGGCTGAGTTTCAGTGCAGAACTTTATGAGGCTTTTTGGGCAAGTTGAAATTCTAACAACAGGGAACATAACCATCTGAACATGGGCAAACAGGCAACAGCAAGCCCCAACAACGAGCATCTGGCTGGGCGCTTATTCTTTTTCAGAAGCCTCGCGAGCAGGTTTAGTCAGAGTGCTAAAGTCGCCTGCCACAGCATTGCATGACGAGACGCGGTACTCTTTCCTGCGGCCTGGACCCTGCAATCTTTTCGCCAAATGAAATTGTTCCAGGATGTTCCAGGATCAAACACATGCTCATACTGCAGGAATCCAAGGGACCACACAAATTTGCTCGCCTGTAGATTTTGCAAGTCAGAAGCATCGCCGAGGAGCAGTGGCTCGGTACCACTCTCCCGCATAAGATGCTAAATGATGCCCCAGAGCTCTCAGCGCGGCTTACTAGAGGAGGTCCTTGTTGCAGCAGACGACCTCGCTGTCAAACATGTCTCTCGCTTGAGCTGAAATCGAATGTGCAGACGTTCGAAGGGTTGCGCAACACTGCTCTTGGAAAACGGCTAAGCCCAGCCATCAGTCACTGGATGTTACTGGTGTGGCCCTTCCCGTCATCTTGTTTCCCGAGGCGCTCCAGCCAAGGGGTGTTTTGCCAAGCAGCCTTTTTTTCCGGAAGGAGGAATCCAAACTTTGCACAGAAGACCTGACAGCATCGATGTACCCTGAGACTGCAGAGGCTCACTTCCTTTTCAGAAATCTGCTTCTCGCAGCACAACTGAGAATTATGCCTTGGCAGAGCCGCTGCACTCCAGGATTGGCTTGAACCTGAGCGGGCAGGTTTACAACACAAAAGGCAGCCTGCGCAGGGACCCTTGAAATGGCACCTGCATCTTGCAAGCGTCATGCGAACCCTGACCAATTCCTCAATTGATCACTGGAGCGAGATGTGACGGACATGACCCAAGCTACAGATGGAGCCGTGCATATGCTAGCCAAGAGCGTATGGCACCAAGATCTTGCATGTGGACACCTTTTGAAGGCTGTCCACCTCTGTGAATTTGGTGTTTTGGGAAAACTCTGGCGGGATACTTCCAGCGTTGCGGCGATGGGCTTGCACGCCGCCCTCTGAAGCCCCTCAATTGAGAAATTGAAGATTTGTTCTCTAAGTTGGCGGCATCGTGCAGGAGCAGTTGGCCGCTGGACAGCCACCCTCTCCGCCAAAGCCACAATAAGCCTGCAGAGGCCCAAAACACTCACCCGCTCTCCGTGCTGCAAGTAGCTGCCGCCTGGCTCTTGATGCAGCAGAATGTCGTCTCCTCGCCGATCATGACCTTCATTCACTGCACCACCAAGGCTGTTTCAATCTTAGCTGTAGCCTTAACATGTGCGATAAACGACTCCTGTGGTCTTCTCTACGACAAAGTCTGCAAGCATCGGCAGGACATCAATGTAACCTTCACCCTGCTGGCCTCACCAGCCAGGTTTCCAATGCCGAAGGTGACGCAAAAGAGCTCGGAAAACATGGAGTCACCTTAACGCGCTACAAATCAAGGCAGAAAATCCTTGCCAAGCTAGTAGACTAGAGGAAACTTCAGGAGCCACGGAAAGCCCACTGTCTCGGCCCCATCATTATGCTTTTAACTTTTGCTGGATCTTGCTGCATTCGGCAGTCCTTTTGAAAGGTTATCAGGCTAAGCAGCTCATTCTGCGGCTTGGTCTCCGCCACTTGCAGGACCCCACAACACCAAACAGGGGTGGTTGTACAGTTTGTTGGGTACACGTCTGACTGCCGCCCTTTCAGGCAACTCATTGTCCCAGAGCTCCTCCCATGTTCCGCTTACATTCGAAGGCCTTACTTGGCATGTTGCTGAACGTGCACTTGCACCCCTCGCGAATGGTGCGGTAGAGTCCGCGTACAATCTTTGCACGCTGGAAGCACGAAGGCCTGCTGGTCGAAACACAACACAACCGCTGCTCGCAGCCGGGTGACTCGAGGTGGGCTTCGAACCGTCTCCCAACGAGTTGTAGAAAGTGCCGTGCACCGGGTCCTCAACCTGAAGGGCACGATGCAGACTGACAGGCACGCAGCTGCAAGGAGTCCCTGCTCTGTGAAAACAAAGAGAGCTGGTCACAGTGACACAATGCCGAGGAACCATGGACACCTGGTTGGGAGCAATCTCCTCATCTACTGTCCTGGCATGGCAGGACCGTGCCAAGAGCTCAGACTTTGGATGGTTTGTCAATCAATCTCAGCCTAGGTGTTCTTCCTCCTCAACATGATATACTTTGGTTTCAACCACAAAAATGAACTAAGCAGGAACACGCATGGACAAATCTAGCGAGCAGAAGACCAAATCCGTAGACGAGGCTCGCATCCAGCTCAAGAGTGTCCATCACCTGTAATTCAGCAAGTAATCTTGCCGATCTGTTCTGCATGCTGCACAACATGGTATGTACATGCAACAAATCTGGGAGCAACGTACCTTATCCTACTCGCATGCTAACGGCTTGAAAGCAAGTCAGAACTTGGATCTTGAGAGAACTTGAGATAGGAGACCTGCATAGAGGTAGTGAGACTGCTTAAACCCTCCGGTGTCAGCCTGTGGCGCTGGCGCGGTCATAGTCATAGCGACGATGCAATCTCACGACGTGTGCGTAGGTCGCGCTTGAGAAGCTGAAATGCTGCAAAAGACAAACGCTCTCCGCACACCTGCCTGCTGTAGAGCATGTGAGAAGTGATGGTTTGGGCGGCCAGACACCAGAAGCTTACTCCGCGTGGGAAATCCTAATCCTAAGATCTTTTGCTTTCCATGCTCTTCAGCAAGCTTCAAGAAGCCCTGCTCGAAAGTACAAATTCAGCCGGACTTGCCCTTGGATCAGGTGCCACCTTTCTGGGCGCATGTGTGCAGAAGGTGTCAAACAGGGTTCTGCGTATCTTCTTCTAGGTGGGCGAACCTATGTTTTGCGAAGTACCAACTGGATTTTCATGGCAATAGCAAGCATAATGTTAATGGCAATGGGGCCGTAGAGATGCACAACAAGAATGAGTGTAACCGACAGAGCGATCATGGCTAACAACAGATAACAAAGTAAGCAAAACCTCTAAGCGTGATACCTCTTGGACTTAAAAAATGGTTACCCTAAAATCCGAGGAAGCCATTGGCCTCTGGGCTTCTAGAAAGCTCTTGAAGACTTTGGCGGTGCTACCGGTGGTGCTGGTGGTTGGCGTTCAAATGATAGTAAGCAGGAATCGAAAATGCTGTGGCAGAGATTGGGAGGCCTCTGAACAGGAATTTCATGCTGATCTGCCAGGCTGGGGGTCAGACGCTTCGTGTACATCCCGCAGGCAGGAATATGAGATGCTCCAGCAATGTTTTCAAGCGCCGAGGCGCTTGGAGCGGTAACCCAGGGATCTACAAAAGCCTTTCTTTCGTGCGGGCGTTGAAGAGGGCTTGGGGCCCTCACAGGGGACTTCACCCCGCCCTTGCTGGGGTTTCCGTAACTGGTGCAAATTCATGGGCAGGGGTCGCCAGATTTTACCTGTTAATATAACTGTGCCTCTCTCTGTGCTTTTTCCTCAGTTAGAGAGAGGTCTCACCGACAACGAGCACATATGGCTGACTATTGATCTGGGACTGCACAGCTGCAAATGTGTTGAGCCTGGCTCCTCCCAAGCAAACCCTGAACGCTGCAAGGCTGGGGAGGCCGGCTCTTCGAACTCATCCATTAGTTCAATCTTGTGAATCCTCTCCTGGGCAGGAACCATCTGGCAATCATGCGAAGGACATGCCCCAATCACTGGCTCACGCATCATTAGCCAAGCGTCCACTTCTTTTTGATCAAGGTGGCGGCTATAGATTTCATTCATGTCTGCGATGGAGCAGCAATTCCAACCTCACCAAAGTCAGGTTCTCAAATGTGGCGATCCTGCTCCATCGTTCAGCTGGGCTGGCCACCCCTGTCCAAGAAGCGAGTCTTCTGCGCATCCATCGAGGGATAACTCGGCGACAGCTGCATGAGCAGCACTGCTGCAAAGGTTGACAACAGAAACGACATAAACAGCAACAGCAGCGGCAGCAGCGACATAAGCAGGGTCACCGGCAACAACTGCAACCAACAAGACCGCCAAAACGGCAGCAGTCGCCTACTCTTGGACACCACCATGGCTGCAGCTACTCTTGCTCTTGCTACTACTGCAACGATGTTGACAATTAGTTTGATGACTATGCGGGCGAAGCCATAAAGAAAGAGGAACATCAAGAACTGGGTTCGAGACTCAAAGACCGAGAGCAGCGGGCATCCGCGCTCAGCAAGGTTCTGCACCATGACCTGCAGGAAAAAGGTTGTAATACAATCATTGTGCGTACAACCTTAACAGTTTAAAACAAAGTCGTGAACGGCAGCCAACCAGCAGCTCTTACTTCAACCTAATGTGTTGCTGCGAATGCGGTCAGGCAGGAATTGGCTCGACAAAGACAGGCTGACTGCACATGGAGGTTGTTCGATGTTCCGTTTCGCCTAGATGGGTCTTGGCGGCCTGCATTGTGAGGGGGAAGTTGGACCACAGCTAAACTTCGTGCACCCCTTCGCATACCTTTTCGCGCGAGCCATTGTTTGCATATTCCAACAACCCATGAATGGCCGTGCATGTACCTGTTAGACAGTATTTTTTGAATGACCCGACATAGAAACGCTACTGCAAGGCCGACGGAATTATGATTGAAAACGAGCTTTGCAAAACATGTGTTGATGCGATGGAGCACGAGAAACTTGATGTCCCAGACCAATTAAATCACTTCAACTCCACTGTTGGGGAATGCGTCTCATGCAATGAAGGCTGGAAGTCCCTTGGCCTTCCCAAAACGATCGTGTGGGTTGGTCTGCTCCTTGGCCATGCTTGCACACCCATCTCTACACATCTTGTGACCGAAACTAACATCAAAGAACATCTGGGTAGTTTGTTGCACTTGGAGATCTTGAATGGTTCCGATGCAAAACAACACCTATCACTTCTTTCAGATTTTTGTGAAGGAGCTGCTTGCAATCAAGAAACGTACATGACCATCGCTGATGGTGCTGATGGTACCTCTGACATTGGAGAACTTCTTCGGACACGAAAGCGAACGCAAGTCGCATTGCAGCATCTTAGCAGAGGGTACATGCTTGCAAGAATCCAAGACGACTCAAACATGCCAGGACATGGGAGCACGGAGGAGGACGCCCATGCTATGATACCGTCACCATGCATCGCCTTGCCACAGCAGGATTAGCGATTTGGCCTGTGTTCGGTCGTCTGCGAAAGCAGCTCCTGCCTGCATGTACACCAGAACGCACTCTGCCATGAACAGAGTGGGGACATCACCTCGAAACCTCAGCAACAAACATCTATGTCCCCGTCTCTTCGCAGAAGCTCAGCTCAACTTGACACTACACACAGCCCCCACGGCCGCACAAGGTGAAGCTCGCATGATCGTGTTCAGTCTCCCTCTTCCAACAACTGATCTCGCGCATCCCTACGGTATGGACCCTCATTGGCATACAAAGCAAAGCGTTCCGTCCTCCTGCGCGCCCATTCTTTTGCTGCTCCTCGACTGTACAAGCGAGAACTAGGTTGCAGGCCCTGCATCCAAGATGGCTGCATTCATCTCAGGGACCTGAAGCGCGCTTCACTCATAAAACCCGTTTCACGCGTGTTTCAGGCAATTTGCACACGCTCTGTTTAGGGGCCCAACTATTCGCATGTCAGCCTGGATCAGGCGGCAGTGCTTTGTCCTGCACGCGGCAGCAGCTAGCAGCTACGAATTGAACTTTTCAGATTTGCATTTCAGATTTGCAGAGTCTCTGCCCTGCAACGGTCTGCTGAAGCTAGTTTGTGCACGTAGTTGCCAAGGCACCTGATCTCTTTCATGCCGGAGGAGCTTCTGTGCGTCAAGTCCTGAGAGCACGCCAGGAATGTTGTGCTAGAATGAAAAGTACACTGCAGGCCTTAACCTCCCGCATCCAGGCCTCCAAAGAAGCTACATCCAGGAGTGGCCATAGGCCCTGCCGCTTGCTGATCGCACTGATCTTCTTGCTGAGGACCTACAAAGGCACGATGAAAATTCACAGCACATCCTGGCAGCTGTAGACTTTCGCCTCTGGAAAGTCTACCTCAAAATACACGAGGTCATCTCTCCATCGCGTGGAATCCTCACCGAAGTCTATACCTTACGCTAGTTGGTGCTACTGCTACTGCGTCTTACACCGAGCTGGCACTCTCTGGTTGTCACAGCGAACGTTGGGGCTGGTCATGCAGCTTTGTGGAAGTGAGTCCTCTCTCAGCCAAAAGTAGATCGTGTCGAATCCAGCGCCGAGATTGACAATCTGGCCAGGCGTCTGTGATCAAGTCAGCGAACATTCTGATCCTACTTTCTAGAGTTCCTCAATTCCATCTAGACAGCGGTGCAGAGAAGCCGGCATCGCTCTCCGCGAAGGAAGCTAATTTGCCTAGCCAATCTTGCAAAGCGCTGCTCCAATACCCTGGCGCCGTGAGCCGTGCTTTACTTTTGACCCCAAAGGCCTCGGAGCACGAAAACAGCTTCTACGAATCCAAAGGCGGTCCGTTCAAATGTCTACGCTTCGCGAATTCGCCTCTGCCTGGCTGACACTCCCCCACCCGAAAATTGAATCGCTCACCGCTCTCCTATGCCCCTTGCGCCCCTTAAAAACTCAGGATTCTGCAGGCTCCGACCCCACTGGCCCCCCCAAAAAAAGGAGCCCCCCAATACCAGCCCCTGCCCCTTACCAAAGTAAGACTTGCTTGTTTAGCGGTGTCTTGGCCTGCTTGCCAGCCCAGCTGCCGAGGCCAACGCGCGCTAGCACTTACAATAAAAGCTCAATGCAGCTCCGGTTTCGTTTGCATGATGGAAACCCAACGGCCGATGGGCACAATGTGTTTTACTGAAGCCTGAACTGGACCACTTGGAGCTCGCCGCAGAAACTGCGTGACCTCAGGCAGTCCCAACAGAAACTAAAGGAACTGCCAGCAGCATTATGAGAATTCGCTCGGCCCACTGCAGTCTTCCTGATGGCCTCAACTCGCGACCAGTAGCCTGAGAACAGGACACAACAGATTGGCTGAGCACAGAAAGTCTGGTGAACCTCTTCACGTTCAAACACCTAAGAGCTGGGAGTAAACGAGCTGGACGCCACCTCGATGAATCAGCGGGGATTTGCATTGCGACCGCTGCCTCAAGTGGCAGACTGTTTCCGGCTTGCAGTGCAAATCAGCAACAACCACGCTGAGCACCAGTCTTGATGAGCTGCTCGGTGTAATTGTCCTGCACAGCTCCGCGTAACCCCAATTCAGTCAGGAGTGGAGTGGCAAACGAAGCTACGCACCTGAAAATATCCCAACTTGGCACAGGAGGCTTTCGCCATGGCTGCATCGATGTGCGTGCACCTGGATGAGAACACTTAAAATTTCAGCAAACCTGAACCCTGCATCACCGTTGCGCATTTGAAGGAAAAGGGCCCAGCTGCACAGCACCATCATCCGGAAGTGGCATTGGTCGACTTAACGGCCATCCCTGACGGAGAGCCGAAGAAAACCGTCTACTCGCGGCAAGGATGGGAACATGAAAACAGCCGCAGTCATTGCCGGCACAAGAATAGAACTGTGGAAAGCAAGCGCTATGGCTTGCAGATTGTGCAGGTGTTGCTTTTGACAAGGGCCTGAATTATCCAAAATACATTCAGTTTGCCGTGCAAATAGGCTTCTACACCAGGGCTCCCCACATTTCCACACAAACCAACAAAGACCTGACCATAGCTGTTGTACTATTCACCTACTTGCACAATGCCGAACACGTGCAATCTTTTTGAAGTGGCCCCTCTTCCACATTTGCTGTCGCAAAACAGAAGTGCATGCCAAGAGCAAACATGCCAGGATGTCTGTATCGGAAGCTGGTTGATAACCACCACTCATTGCACTGCTACAGGTCAGGACAGCTATGATGGCAACTTTGCATGGACAGGCTGAGGCATGACGGGCATGATCGAAACACTTCCTGATCATTGTGTTGTTTACACCTTCCCCGGACCATTGCTGTAGGTTTGTTGGCATACTTTGCAAACGATTGCCCGTTGCACGCGCTGATGACTTGCTCCCTTGAAAACATGGCTGCGAGGCACACATAAGGCCTGCGCAAAGTCTCCACGTCCCGTCTTTACACGATGTTTTCTCCGGCCATGATTTTACCCTGCTTCCGAAATCTGACATGCATGCATGCGTGTGTAAAGGTTGGTTACAGCTTAGGGGTGCAAATGGCAACTTTTTCCCGCTGCGCATCAACATTGCGACAGAGGAAGTTTGGACAGGTCAGCATGTTTCACAGCTCTGCACAACAATCATCGCAACTTTAGAAGCAATGGCGTCATGGCCGAGGAGGCTCCGCTTCAGCTTCGTTTGTTGGTGTAACTGCTCTAGGCTGGGTCTTAGCAAAGCCTTCTTGGAAAACATGGCTACGTAATGCTACGAAGTGGTATCTCAAATCTGCGCCCCAGCAACCTGTGAGAACTTCAAGGTGGCCGTCTGAGGTCAAGAAGTTAAGTAGCAGCCCTACTGCTCGACAGGGGTTGGAATGATGATCCGCAGGCGATATCTAGGCATGGTTCCAGTCTCCGAAGCATTTAGGATCTAAACTGCCAGCATCAGACCTCATCCTCTGAAGTTGCCCTGCCTTGGTGGCCTGAAGGCTCAGCGAGTACCATGGGATGATGCTGGGGCAGCCTGGTTCCAAGAGGCATGGGAAGGCAGAGTTTTGTCACCTGGCTTTCCTTGACAGCACCTGACTGACTCCGCATGATCCCAAGCAGCGATTGCAGATATTATAATAGTCTACTAGAGTCTACTTTTAATATACCATAGTATGCAATTATATACTATAGTATACTATATCATGTCCCAAGAATGCCTAAGGCATCACTCGCCCCCTCTGGTGAACCAGCCTGGGGAGGTGTGGCTGCCTGCAGCAATGCGACGGAGCACAAACATAATGTCGGGGACTGCTTACATGGAAAAACCTGAAAAGGCACTTGACTTGAAATGAGCCATAGTCTTTCTTTTTTTTTTGAGCGCCCTTTTTCCACCTGCAGACGGAAAGGTCCTCATAGGGCCGGGCGTAACCACAAAACATCAGACTGCACTGTCCAGAAAACTCTGCTGCGCTCGGAAAGCTTCCAGGATTTCAGGCCCAAGGTCATCTCTCACAAGCAGGCTAGTTACGAAGCCCCGCTGCCACCAGGAAAAGATCCAGGTTGGGTTAACCATACTGCTTGATGAAGGGCAAGGGCAAGGGCCGGCTACTCCATTGCGGGAAACGTCTGACAGGGCTGAGGGAGCTGCAGGGAGTAGTGTATGGAGCAGTGTGCCTTTGGATGCTGTGAGCTTTTTGGAAAGTGACATAGGGAGAAGGGTCTTTTCCTGAAATGAGCCATAGTCTAAACTCCTAGCATTCCCCTTAATAACGCCTATAGTAGTCCCCTGTATATTCCCCTATATAACCCCATTAGGGAGTACAGACTATAGCTCAAACGTCGGCAGAGTTTCTACAAATGCTATAGCCGAGGCCTGCGGGGTCGGGTTCTGCCTCGGCGTAATCGCAGGCCTCAGCTGGGCAAGACCCCGAACTGTGACAAGAAAACTTATGACTACTACTATTATTACTATTATTACTATTGTTACTATTACTACTATCATTACTATTATTCACATAATTTCCCGCTAACAAGATGCTGCACATGTCAGACATGCTCCAGCTGTTCTAACAGACGTTATCCCTACCATTAAAACTATTACTGCAAGGAACTGCCTATAATGCTTGGATCCCAGCCCCTGCGCCTGCAAACAAACAATAGCATAAACGCAATTCAGTCTGATATGAGCCAGAATCTAAACTCCTAGTATCCGCCTTAATAACCCCTGTAGTGGTCTCTATGTAATCACCTATAGAACCCCCTTTAAAGGGAGTTTAGATTATGGGGTATATGCACTACCGCCATGAGTGACTGCGGCTGTGTTCAGCCCGACGGTGAATGCCAGGATACATATAACCCATATGTCCCCATATAAACTCTATATAAACCCTATATGACCCCTGTAGGAGTCCCCAATAATATAACCCCTATATAGCCTCTACATAACCCGCTCTATCCCCCCTGCACAGATCTCAAGATTGGTAGAGTCGGTACAACCCTAAGGCAGTCCACCGGCCTGCGGCTTTTGCTGGAGCCTGAATCTTGAACAATCTACCCCGGCTATGGATGGCTTCCAACAGAAAATCATGCAGTTGTGCTTTTGCGCATGAGAATTGAAATGATCCAGGCGGGTACTGAGGCCAGGACGCAACCTGCCTTAGGGCCTGTCACTAAGCAGCATTCATGTGACTATGCAGCCCAGGGGTGGTGCACGATTAGTCATCTAGCCTCCTCTGCCTTCTTGATGCTGTGCGACAGTTCTTCCAACTCCTGACACCGCCCGACACACATGCATGGCAAGTTTATGCTACTCCCAGGCATCATTTTCTGTGCGCGCAGTTTCAAAAGATCGGATGCACGGTGATCTGTGATGTCCAACCTTGTTACCCATGATTGCAGTGCGTAGCAGCGTCCTGTCTTAAACGCTTGTTCTCGTCCTCAAGCCACCTCAGAGCGGCAGAGACGAGAGACACGAAAACAGAGAGAGAGAGAGAGAGAGAGAGAGAGAGAGCGTCAGAGAGAGCGAGGGCACGGAAGAAAGTCAGAGACAGAGAGACTGGCAGTCCAGGCTTCATCACTTGCAAGCAAACACATGCATGTGTGACCGGCTATCTCACACCAGCAACCCGACCAAGACTTGGACGCATTGCGATCGGCCAGGCTCATCAGAGAACTGCCGAGGCGCGACCAGAGCCAACACCTCCAGGCTCTTCGATTGCCGGAAGCTTACAAGAATCAGGTTTGATCAGATCCAGAGAAAGTCCTGTTCTGGAGCGAGGACTCAAGCGACTCAAGCTGTGCCATCAGCATGCGAGCAGAGTGGGAGCAGACGACGGGACTGATGGCAACATGCTGAGGATCACGCGCGTGCTCGCGCATATGGCCAGCCTGCAAGGACATGTTCATATGGCTTCCGCTCCGGCTGCATTGTGCTACTTAACTCAATGCCACTTCCTGTTACAGCGACCCAGGGGATCGCAACTGGCCGCTGCTAATTGCATGGTAACAGATGGCATTTGCAACTCTCCCATGACCACAATTGAGGCCGTACCCTTGAAATCAATACATCTCAATATCCATGTATCAGCTGGCGGACCACGTGATCAGAAGCAGCTGCTGCCAAACAGAAAATACATTGAGATCTTCAGCACTTCAGCTGCAGCTTGGCCAGAACGCATGGCAATGCGTGGCAGAGAGCTATGTTACTTTGCATAGCAGACTTGCAACATCCTGGACTCCCAGTCCTCCACAAGTTCGCCATGCGCCACTGTAGGCGGTGCCTCTTTGTATTTGGCAGCATGAGCAGCCATAAAAGATCGACCAAAATATATCTGTGCATTGTTCAGTTCTGTGGCGCCGTTATGTTTTGTTCGAGACTGTCTCCCAATATGCCCTAGGCAAATGAGTCCAGGTGTCTGTCTATCACACTGAGGAGGATTGAACCAAATGCTTGCAATTGCCGGCTTTGATGGGTTGCCGTTTTGTCAACACAGAGCTTCGGGAGGTCTCCCTGGTTTGGGAGGGGCATAGATTCTGCACGCGCAGGTGCAGGGAGACATCCTACTCAAAACTACATGTATCATGCGCGCTGATACAATTGCCCCGTCGTCCTTGGCTGCCGGTGTACGGCTAGAGCAAGCGCTGTTCGCACCTCACTCAGATAAGTTTTCAGACGCTGAGCCGCAGGAAACGTGAAAAGCTTCCTTGTGCAAAAGAAAGGCACGTCTAACACCAAACTCTTGCGCACGCGATATTGCAAGATGCACTCGGATTCACTCAGCAATTCTTGGCAGCAGGATCTGAATCAAGGAGAGCAACAGCTTGTCGGCGTCGCGATGCCTGCAGTTGCCTGCAGCTTTGAATAGCGAGAAGTGGCAACCGAACTGGATGGCGAGAACGGAGCAAGATTTTACCCATAGCAAGTTACTGCGAGAACATCGATACGGCCTGGCCTGCTGTGGTCTGCCTGGCATCAGCGAGTGGCAGACTTTGTCCCGCATGTCATCCCACCTTTCAGACTACGGGCTCACAGCACGAGGTCTCCTCCAAACTCCGAGGCATTCGAGCAGACGCAAGTAACGAAAGCACACAAGCAGCTTGTAGTGAACAGGGCTGTCTGCATCCTTGCTATCGGCCTATGCAAATACAGTTCCAGTCAACAGGGAGCCGCGCACAGAGTTCAGATCTTTCTGCTGGGAATCAAAGATGGCCTTGCCAGACCAGCGCAATTGTAAAAAGGTGTTGCAGCCAACCGCACATGCAAGCGCCAAAGCAACCATGTACGAGCGGACTCCATTCGGAGCAGAAACTGGCGGCCTGAACTCTGCCCAGAGGCCTGGGACAATGTTGTGCACGGGTTGAGACCACTGTCCACCACTGCAAGCGCTGAAATTTACCGTCATGTGTCTCTTCAAGCGTGGTCTGCGGGTGGAAAATTATCTGAGACCACCGACGCCATACGATCACCTGCCGCAGCCACGGTTGCCTGAATGCTTGCTTTTACGCTATTCTTTACAGAAATCCATAGCAGCTCTGCCTCACATTAGGATTCATGCAGCAGACGATCCATTTTACAAACATGACGAGCCCGCTCTCCTGAATGTTGTTATTAGAAAGCCAAATAAAGACATTGCTGCTTGCCACAGAACGGATCTGCCGGCACACGCTGGGCTTGGCAAGCAAGCAGCCGGAATGCCACACAAAAGGCAGTAGCCGCGCCCCAGAAAGAAGTTCGCGAAAAGCGATGACAGGGATTCATCAATGCTCGCAATTGTGCACGCAGCGCGAAGGACCCTGGCTTCCTGCATAAACAGCACTTGGCCTGACCCAGCAATCGCAGAGCTTCATCTAACATTCAAAATGATACGAACCTGCACTGGTCCTGCACTCAGCTTCATGGGCTAGCCAGAACGCAGGCAAACTGAGCTCCCAGCCAGCAAGTCGTAGGACCCGTAGCCATCCGAGCTGAGGTCCGACGTGGCTGCTGGCTGGTCGGGCACCTGGGTGCAGAAGCTATGCATGCTGAACCCACCTGGTGCTACAATATATGCCAAACAGTTCAACTAAGTAAATCTACATGACCTCCTGGACACAAGTAGCTGATTCTTGTAGCTCTTTGGATGCCTTGGGCTCCAGCTCGCAGCCCAGCCTCGCCGGCGGCCTTGGCATGGGCCTCGGAGGCTCGAAGCGCGAACACGACCGGTGCATGGACAAGTGTGGCATAGTGTGACTGTGGAGCACCTCCTCCTCCATGGCACTCCACGGGCCACGGCATCCGCTTGTGGAAGGCTACTTGAGGGTGTGTAAGGGGTGTGGGGGTGAGGTCTGAAGCTGTAGAGTTCTGCAGGTGGAGTGGTAGCTCGCCAGGGTCCAAGCGGGCATACCAAGCGGGTACGAGTAGCTGCTACGCACTGCATGCTGATCGTAGAGTACAGCTCTCTGTTGAAAGGCCAGGTATCAAGTGTGCTTTGCACCAACTCTGGCATGTCTTGAACTGGCCAAGTCGTGCTGGCCTGCATGACTGCACTGGCATCACAGCACGTCGCTGAGATTTGCTGGCAAAGCCAAAGGCGGAAGAACCTACTAGCGCGACAACCGTTCTGTCTAAAGCCACCTCGCCACACGTGTGGGAAAGCATTGCAAAAGCTGCAAGGGGAGCTTCATCATCCAAGGCCCAAAAGCCGTCCCCTTCTGAAAAAAAACTCTAGAGAATTGAGAAGGAAACTGTGGGGCGAGGTACATCAAGTAGACAAATCCAAAGGAAGTTTGAGATGTCCGTGATCTCACGATAATAGATTAGAAACAATGAATGCCTATACAAGTCGTGCAGTGAAAGTTGGCACTTCCATGAAACACTCATATTCGGGCGGGGTAATTATTATTGAGGGGCTTAGCTGGCTACTAGGAAGAAGCGATTAAGCTGCTCCTGGTATGCAAGTTCGAGGAAGGAGGGTTTCTGCAGCAATCCCTTTTTTCCTTCTGTGAAGGTCCCGCCGTTTCCTGCCGAGCTCGCAAGGCGACTTCTCTTGGACTTCACTGTGAGACAATCAATCCCCGCACCTGTTGAAATTGTCTCAGACTTTGCCTTGGCATGGCCCGCAGTCCCCTGTCTGGGCTTTCTGGGCTCTCAGCTGGCAGCTCAGTAGAGCCAAGGGAAAGGGTGGCGGGTGAGGGCCGCCTGGGTGACGGCGCCCGCGAAGGCCAGCATGGCCAGACCTTGGAAGCTGTGAAGCAGAGAATTGTGACCGGAGTGATCTGCATTCCGTGGCAGAGCGTGATACAGTGATACCTGAGCCATGCTGAGCCCAGCTGAGCCCAGCGACGTCCGTTCTTGAGCTCAGAGAGGCGCATCTTCTTCTGGCCCTCTTCGTCGCTGGGGAACCAGTTGGTCAGGCCGTAGTCTCCTGCAACCTTTTCAGCCGCTGCTCTGGCAACACAATTCGGGATTAGCTCAAGACATGTCAAATATGGCGTGTTAGAGGCACGTCAGCTTGATCTTGGATTGAAAAAAGACCTGCCTCGAGAGAGTTCCACTCGAAGACCTTCTTCGCGCAGCAGAGCTCCACGATGCTGATCCAGAACCTTGGCACCAGCATCACCAGCACAAGCTCAAGGGAAAGGAGACGTGGCTCCAGAGTCGAGATGTTTCTCGCACAGATGCAACCCAGCTGCAAGATCTGGGCGTTCACGCCGCTGGCACCACGGAAGGCCTCGTGAGCATCGATGGAGACTGGCACGGCCTCAGCACATGCCACATCACAGTGAAGCAGATCTGCCGCAATCTGGCAAGAGGTCGCCACTTCGAAGGAGAACTTCTCACCAGGCAAGCGAACGAAGTCCTGTCTCCACAACGCATGCACGAGTGAAGAGGACTCGTCCAGCTAGCATGCACAGCACACATCAGAAGCCGTCCGGGACGACCATGCCGACCCACGCAAGCATCGCCAAGCGCCCGTGCTTCAGCTCCGCCTACACTTCAAACAAGATGCAAAAACAAAGCAGTTCTCAGCTCTGCTTGCCAAAGTTGACGTCACTGCCCTTGTTTTGTAACTCTTGCAAGCAGGGAACCTCACGGAGGTAAGGGACCACTTCGGTCTTCCTCGGCAGCCCATCAGAAACAGGTAAAAACATGCGCAGAAACGTGAAATTCGCAAGGTATACCTCTAGAAGCCCGCACAATACGAGAAAAAAACGGGAATCGGATATGGGCTTATTATTAGTTCTGGTATGTTCTAATGCGTTCGAGAGTGTGAGCTCCGAAGTCGACCGCATGAGGATGATTCGCAGGACATGAAGGGTTCTGCTAATATGACTCTCTTTGCATCCGGCATGGGGAGCTGCTGCTCCGATTCGAAAACCTGAAGAGTCGAAAAAAAAATCTCGTGCTCCCCTGGCCAACACACACACACACATTCTGCTGCAGAAATGAATCACAAAGTTCCATCCTGCTCACAAGCTGGTGATCTACCGTTTCGTCGTTTCGCGCCGTAGTTTTAGGCAAAGCTAACATGCAACTTGCAGGAGCTACCTCTGAAGCAACGAGCGTCGCATCCGTGCAGTGAGGCATGCAACAGGATCCTTTGAGCTTTCAGGCATGGCATGGAACCTTTGTCGCATTGGATTTGAACAGCACGAAAATCAGAACAACCGCAACTTGAGCGAAACACAGGGAGTTTGTCAGCCTCATTGCCGGACACCTCCAGCAACTTCATTCATGTTCGCGCTACTGCAGCTGCTTACTTTGCGCTGCTTCTCAGCCTGACCCACATTTCCGCAGAATCCAGCACATCAGAAGCTCCAGATCAGCAACACATGGCTTGATAGCGTTACGCTCTGCAAGTGGCAACATCCGACCAGTAGTGCCATACGGCCACATGTCTGGTCTGAGGGATTCGAGATATTTCCATCACAAAAAAACGCCACGGCTTGTTGACATTCACTACGGGACAACTGATGACCTCGGGTCCTTCTAGTTTGATGCTTCCTGAAGCCTGCTGTCGACCATGAGCACTTTAGCCGTCGCCGTTGCTGATGTTTTTTGGAGCTGAAAAGGCTTGAGACAAAAGGTCCACACAAAACTCTGCCCGCACGTCGCACTTCTGCAAGTCCGACTTCTGTGTCCCTGGAGCTTGAAACGAGGCGCCCCTTTCACATCGTAGAGAGACGTTGAAATGTCCAACTTGCACAAGCGGAACTGAGAGAGTACGGGTGAAAGCAGTAGTGAGCAATGAGCAATTAGGATACCTTGCTGGGGAAGGGCCAAGGTTCGTGGAGAAGCCAAGGGGGTCGAACTCGAATCGGCCCCAGGCTCCTTCAGCGCCCACCAGGCCCTGCGCGAACTTGCCTCAGTATGCACTTAAGATTGCTCAAGAGATCTCACAAACCATACACTTAAGTGTAAGCTTTGACTGAGCCCAGAAGCCATTGTCCAAGAGATCGATGCCAGAGTCCTCGTAGGCCACAGCCAGCTCGCGGCGGGCTGCCTCTATGAAAGGTGGCCGGCGACGCTCAAAGTTAAAGTTTGTGCTTGAAACAGTTGCTGCAAACACTGGCTCGATCTCGTGACCACTTCGCTTACAGCAAAAATCATGGTGAAACAGCCGCCTTCTGTGCAGTGCGCGCCGGGCGCTGTGCGGCTGCAAGAGCGGCCACGGCGATGGCACCGCCAGCAACGCCAGCGACACCCCTGCCGCAGCCTGGTCACCAGAAACATGCAGAGGATCTGCCTTCTTGTGAAGGACGACTGCAAAAGTGTGAAGCTGCTTCGATACTGCAACCTTTCCATCTGTAGTCCAAGCCCAGGTGGAGCCACATAAGCACGTGCCTGTACCGGCAGCTGTGGCGGAACCACGCAAGTGCGAAGCAGTTGCTCCACGTGCGCCTCTGAATGCTTTTCAAGGTGTTTCTTGTCAGGATCAGACCAATCTCAGAAGGCTAATCGACGGAGCGCGGGTACTATGCGTACTGGGATATCCTGATCCATCTTCAGAGGCTTAAAGACAAGGCTCTGATTCCTCTAGCTAGCAGCACAAAGCAGCCATTGGTCTTGCAATCGGAACAACCAGATGTCATCCAGAAAACCACTGAGAAGCCCGAGTTGGGATCCCTAGGCAATCCTAAGTTGGCCTGCGAAGACGGGGACGAAAGCGGGTGCCACAAGGCCGGCGGCCGCCGCGGCGGCAATGCCTGCAGATGAAGGTTACAAGAAAAAACTTGGTCGTGTTACAGGTCTTCTTGACGATGATCATCATAAGCTTAACATCAGGCACCAATCGGAACTCTCAGCTCCACAGACAAAATCCAGAACGCAGAAAACGGCAAACAGCAAAGCACGAAACCACAAGGTCACTCCATTGGCAACAGTGGCCAAGGGTTGTTTCAGCGCGAACCTATTGAAGGTTGGATTCTGAGGTGCAGGTGCAGCCTGACCTGATGCTAATGCTTAAGGATTCGCCAGACCGTCAACCTCCACACCCTTCGAAAAGCTTCACGATCCAGCTCTCTGGAACGTGCTGGGTTCCTTATACGCGCTAGTGTGGAAGTACTGCTGTGAAGCTGAAATACGACTGCAACTTAGAACCCATCATCCCTCTGCAAAGCTGTTTCCTCAGATCTGGTGGGTACCGCCACTTCTGCTGCAACTTCTGCGACAGCTTATTACTTGTCTGTACCATGGCTCTATTGATCCAACTGCCAACCGAGTCACAAGCTGCGGTTTGGCTGCTCGGCATGGTGAAGAAGCAGGGAGTTCGGCGGGCCCCAAAAAAAATCACACGCTTTTCAAGTTTGAGCCGGAAGCATGTACATGTAATGACCTGCGCAATCTAGGAATTGCCAGGCTCTGTCGAATTAACTGGACGAAAGCTACTGCCAGAAGCCTTCTTTGCTGCGGGCACACCCAAAGCTAAGTTGTCTGCGACTGCCCCTTTTGCCAAGCCTCCCGCCATTTGCTCCCGGGTCTCTATGCCCGCTAAGCTCATCACACGTCACTGCAAACGGTTTGAGCCACTGCCAGTTGATCTACAGCTGGCAGCTCAGTAGAGCCAAG